ATATACTTGGAACTTCTGGCTTGTGTGTGTGTGTGTGTGTGTGTGTGTGTGTGTGTAAGTGCTCAGACCACAATGGGCTTATGGTGGTCAGAGGACAACCTCGGGTATCACTCCTTACCTTCCTCCTTGCTTGGGAAAGGTCTCCCCTTTGTGTTCACTGCTGTCTGTGTCAGGCCAGCTGTTGTTTTTGGTCATTCTTCCGTCTCTCCTCACATCTGTCTTTAGGGGAATGTGGGGTTTCAGATGCATGCATACATTGCCGAGTCTGGCTTTTAAAAATGTGGGTTTGAGCAGCAAACACAGCAGCCTCTTCACCCGATGAGCCATTTTTCCAGCCTCGGGAAGTTCTGCTTCTTGACTGAGTGGTTGGATTTGTTACTTTGTTCCTAGTTGCAGTACATTACCCTTTCAGAGACACCGATACCACATCTAGTGCAGGGTTACATTGTAGCTCTCTGTGTCCTGACACTGTCAATTAACATTAAGTTCTAGTGTGGATTTATTTCCTCTGTGTGATTGTTACCAAATATACATATAAAATTTAGAATAATTTCTGGCTTCCTTTAGATTTTACCTTCCCCCAAATTTCCAATTGAACTTTATTTTATGGTGTATATATAAAGCCTTTTTAAGGCTGGGATGAAATCATCTGATATGAAAATCAAAACCAATAACCAAATTTCATTTGCAAAAGTTTTGTCCCAACTTTACCACAAACGGTATTTGTTCTGATTTTGTAGTTTCTATTTTAATCTTTCATGCATTTCTTATAGGCAAGACATATATTTCTTCATTCCCTTCATCTGCTTTATACAACAGATAGAATGCTGCATATACTGCTGTTTGTAGATCAGTTTCATTTCATGTGTATGAATGTTTACCTGCATGGATGTGTGTGCATTACATTTGGGGCTGGTTCCTACAGAGGGAAGAGAAAGGCCTCATTTCCCCCAGAACTGCAGCTGCACGTCATTGTCAGTCACTGTGTGGCTGCTGGGAACTGTACTTGGGTCCTTTGCATGAACAGCAAGTACTCTTGAACACTGAGCCATTTTCCAGGCACCTATATATGCTTTTCTGAATTTGTCTTTTTAATATAACAATATAGCACCTAGAGGGACTGCTACTTTATTCATGGACTCTTACTCAGCACAGCTATTATTTCTGTGAGGTTTTTGTTTGTTTAAGTTGGTTTTCTATGAATTTTAAATCATCAGATTTACTGTATGTATCCAATGTATATAATATTTCCTATGCCAGTTAAAACATTTTGGGAACTAGAAACATGGCTCTGTGGATAAAAGAGCTTGCATGTGTGTGCATGTGTGTGTTTCATGGTGTATGTATATGTGCATGTGCGTGTGCATGTGTCATATAGTGTATGTGTTTCATGGTGTATGTGTATGTACATGTGTGTGCATGTGTATTTTAGTTTGTATGTGTGCATGTGTATGTGTGTGTATGTGTATAGATTATCTTAGCTGTTTCATGCTGTTTGTTGAGCATCCTAAGGTATAGATGAAGATAGAGCCAGAGACTTCCTTTAGATTTTACCTTCCCCCAAATTTCCAATTGAACTTTATTTTATGGTGTATATATAAAGCCTTTTTAAGGCTGGTATGAAATCATCTGATATGAAAATCAAAACCAATAACCAAATTTCATTTGCAAAAGTTTTGTCCCAACTTTACCACAAATGGTATTTGTTCTGATTTTGTAGTTTCCATTTTAATCTTTCATGCATTTTAATCTTTCCTGTTTGCTTTACTCTATTGGGCTATTCTGACTAGGGTACAGCCTCAACTTACTGTTAAGAGGTGACTAGATTCTTGATCCCCCTGAGGAAGTGCCACAGTGTTACTTTCAGGATGCAGTTGGTGGTAGATAAGAGGGGGAAATGTATGTTGCACATTTTATAATTAAAATTTAAAAACTGATGAAGCAAGGAGGGAAACATAATTTTTCCTTTTAGGGAGAAAAATTTAATTAACTTAATAAACAGAGTAACACAGGGCAAAGGGCTAACCCTAAAGTGATTTCTACCAGCCAGGCTGAATGATAAGCGTGTGCCTGGGTCACTAGCCCTCCTGTTTGGTCATTAATCCCCGAGCCTTGACAGTTGGCCCATGTCACCTATAGTCTAGCAGCCCATTTCCCAGCAGGATATCTGAGTGACACTCACCCCTGATCCTTTGCAGGCCAGATGTTTGAAGACGGCACAGTCTTCTGGACGAAACTGTCTTTTATCTGCATGATTTATGACAGCCCTCCACTTGACGATCAAACAGAGCCACTAATAATTCTGTCACAGGCATCTTAGAGAGCTCTTAGGAGGATATTTATATCCAAAGGCCTTGGCCCTCGGTTCTGCCCCACCGTGTTAGCACAGAGGTCTCTTCCACACGGGAATCTCATTCGTGATGCTGCGGTCATTTCCCCTGGGTTCTTTTGAGATTGAGTCTGTGCAGGGAGGATGCCTGGAATGACCATGAGTCACCTGGGGTGAAAAGCTGCAGGTTCTGGGGTGAGCTCTGCTTGCCCTGTGCTCTCCCACGATTCCTCTGCTGTCACCACCAGCTGTAGTGTGAGGCAAGGTTTTCTATTTTGCTTTACTTCCTTCCTCTTTTCAGTAAGAGTTTGGGGGTTTGTAGTTTTTATGTGGTAAGAAAGACAATGGCCATATGCTCTTTAATGCTCTGTATTTTATTCTAATAGCAGATAGTTGAAAACACTTTTCTTTTTAAATGAGAATGATGATAAAGGACTTAATAATGATACCGAGGAGATCTATCTCTATGTCTCTACCTCTATCTCTACCTCTATCTCTATCTCTACCTCTATCTCTATCTCTATCTATATGCGATGGCATTCAGAGATGCACATTTGCACATGGAACTTGCTATTTCTCCTTGATCCCTTGCTCGGGAGGTGAGATTAGTGCATGACCAGGGATGGCCCCTGGCCATGTTGGTCTTCGGGCACCAGTTGCATAACCACACAGGAACTGGCTGCAGAGTCTGCCTTTGGATAAGCCAGCAGGCAGTAAGTGTTTGTCCTAGCTGTCAACAAAGTGGTCAGTACAGCGTTGGTAACTCGAGGGAAGATAAATGCAATTTTGTGTGCATAGAAATCTGTGCTCTCTGAAAACAACATGGCCATTTTAATGGCGTTCTGGGATTTGACCTAAAGCCTTGCAGATACAATGGCACCATTCAGCTATACGCATCCAGCCCAGAGATCACTTCATTATCCACCGTCATTTGTCTGGAAAGATGCTATTATTATTACTGTAATTATCATTTTACCATAAAGACCTTATGTGATATGTTTCTCAGAGGAGTTGAGCCACTTTTCCCAAGCATGGAATTAGATGTTTTATGATCACTCATGATCTTACTAAAATGCAAAAGCAGTATAGTAAGACTCTCTGAATCAGAAATCTTGGAATCTACGTTTTAATAATGTGCTTACCTCACTCACCTCACAAAGCTTACTGTCACCTTTTAGAGGTGTCATTAGTGTTTGTTTCACAGTGACCGAGCTGCTGTCCAGAAGGAGGGGAGATCCCATGGGCACAGGCATTTGTCCTATCTGATGTCTGGAGAGGACTTGATGGTACTTAAACATGCTGGACAAGAGACTGCAAGGAAGCAAACTTCAGCCCCAAGATAAACTAGAAGGAATGTGAAGAGGTGAGAGTCTGTAACCCTTGGAAACCATGCATGCCGCCTCAGCCCAAAAGATGACATAGCTTTCCATAAAAACACCCTTATGCACCAAATAGAAGGACATGGTAGAGTAGAAAATGAAATTTGTCAAAACTATGTCAGAGAATGTTTGAAAGGAAACTAGCATGTACTGTAGACCTACTACACAGCAGGAAACATGCATAGGACGTTTATGTACAAATGTATCTAATGCAGCCTCACAACTGTCCCACGTGCCACACTCGCTGTGTGGTGGCATCAGAACAGTGCTTGTGTTTGCACTTGCTTGATAGCATAGCTGGGTGCCGCTGTGTGGCCTGAATAGACTTTTAGAATGGTTTAGCATAGCAGACTTCACACCAGGGAGAGAGTGCCGGCGGCTCACTACCTCTGTTTCCTGGCTTGACTGCATTTCCCAAGATCCTCTGCAGTAAGGGAACCTGTGACGATTTGGGGGGAGTGTGGGCACAGGAATAAGTTTTGCATTTCGAGGCTCTCTAGTTCAGCAATTTCCTGTGCTCACACCTTGTTTCCTACAGGCTATCATGGGGTTCGCTAAGGGCAACTTTGGAGTCAAGGGACCTGGGCCAGGGCCCCTGTAAAGAGACAGACCTCCATAAGCAAAGAATGATTGCCTTGGATTCCTTGAACCAAGACACATTTGCACTACTAGTCACGACTATTATCTCAACATGTCTCTGTGAAGAAACACCGTAACATACCTTAAAGCAGAAAAAATGAGAAAATCAAGATATATGAACACAGTTTATGCAACAGAAACTACCTAGCTAGCAAATGTGCAGAGTTGTGTCTGCCTGGAAAAGACTTACAGAAAGATGAATTGGAGTGACCTGTGCCGCTCAGGTTCTAGGCAGCAGCATCACAGGTCCATAGCAACAACCCTGCGTACCATGCAGATGTATTTGGCGGAACCTTAGAACTTGAGAAAATTAGCAAATACAAATAGGACATGTGGATGCCTCTGAGTGCTTCTGCCATGCTGGATATTAAACCCAGGGCTTTGCATATGCTAGGCAAGTGCTCTGTTGCGGTGCTACTTCTGGATGCCCCATTTCAAGTTGAAAGTGAGGTAAAAGTTACAGACAATGTTAGGGACCAGAACATGGTGCTTTTTCAGGGTGATGACAAGCTTTGGGGGTCATATGGAGGGCTCTCTGTCTGGACCAATCATGGGAGTGTATGAGAAAGTCCATCAAACTGCTTCCTTATAACTCATGTGATTTTCTATATTGGTTCTATTCCAATAATAGCAACATACTGTACAATCCGATGGGATAGAGGCTGACAGAGGGATGCTGTCCTCTCTGGTCTCACTTCCTCCCTGTGAATGCTAGACTGCTGCTACCGAGTCTCCTCCAACAACTCAGGAACCTGTTTAATGAAGAAGGACTAGATATGGTAGTTGTCGAGCATGGTCAAGACACTTTGTTTTTGTCTGGAGGATGTTACCACCTGGGTACCTGCTCTATTCACCTTTTGAGATCACTGTTAGTCTGCAAGGCTGGATAGAAAGAAGCTGCAGGAAGAGGAACTGTCCACTGCCAGTGTCATCAGCAAAGGTATTTTGGAAAATTGCTGCCTCAAAACGCAGGCTATGTGGAAGTTTCATAAATTTCTTTAGCTCTAGTCAGGGAAGGTGATGCCATGTGGATCTCAGCATCTCTCAGACGTCTATTTCTCTGAGCCAGTTTTCCTAACTGCTGCCAACAAATATACTATTGACAAGAGCCCTGTGGTTTGACACTTGTCTTCTGTCTGCCCCACTGGGGTTTTTGCTATTTAATTTTTTCATAACAACTTGCCTGTAAGTGTAACTACGTACTAGCAAGCTTGATGGACTGGATTTTAGAAGTATACATTAGAATCTATAAGAAATGCAAAATAAAGCAAAAACAATCAACTCAGTTATATTAATAGCAAACACACACACACACACACACACACACACACACACACAAGTGTCTACGTATTGGGTAATGCTTCAGGGTGTTGTCCCTAAGTGTCTCCTGTCTCTTATGAAATAGGACAACTTTCAAAATTACAATAACTGGCATTAGATCAGCAGTGAGCATCTCTCAGAGATTCTCTTCAGCCCTAAGCAGATGACACTCTTGTTTAAATTACCATCTTTTCAGGGCAGAGGCTGGGCTTGAGGGTGGGGGAGACTTTATGGCTTAGTTGATTTCATTCAATGGGGTTCAAAAAAGATAAAAAAGTACCTTTTGCTCAGATTTTCTTTACAACGTGACAGGGGCTCACCATAACTGAAAACTAAGAGTCTTAGTTTTTGACCTGTGCTGGAATAAACAGTTGGGGGAGCCAGCCAGCCTTTTAACCGGCCCTGACACCGGAAGGCTCCAACTGATAAGCAGCACCCCGCTCTAGTGGCCAAATCGAAAATGACAGCTCAGTGTAATGGTCCGTTAACAATGGAAACCAAAGTTTGGAACCACCTTGGTCTTTCACAGATTGCCGACACAAGTTCACAGTGCCTTCGATAGTCAGCCAGAACATTCCTAGTGTGCTAACAGTCACAATCGCTTTCCCCTTACTGCTCCCAGTGTTAGTATTTCTGAGATTTCTAAAACTTGGATGTGTCTCACAAAATGTGGCTAACCAACATCAGCTGTGACTCTGTCCTCAGCAAGAGTACACCCACAGCAGGAAATGAAGAAAAGGGAACCCTGGGAGCATGCGTGTGACTGTTAGCATCCTTTATAACAGCAGTTCTCATCCTTCCTAACGCTGTGACTCTTTAGTACAGTTCCTCATGTTGTGGTGACCACAAACCATAAAATTATTTCTTTGCCATTATATTTTTGCTACTGTCATGAATTGTAATATAAATATTTGACATGTGACCCCCAAAAGGTCGTGACCCACAGGTTGAGAACCATGGCTTTAGGGCCTGAGAAACCAGAGGCCCAGAGACCAATCAATGTCAAAGCACATGACTGTAAATCATGGTCCTTGCACCCAGATCAGACTTGTCTGGAGGCAGACTGTGACAAGCTGTAAAGGGTTGCTTATGTAACATTTCTGTCTTTCTACTAGATTGGGGCTTAACTTGACCATTGAAAAGGGGTTTTGTTTTTGATGCTTATTTATGTGTGTAGGGGGGTCGGGGGCAGGAAGGCACACATGCCATGCGCATGCCCGCCAGTGGAGGAAAAGGACAACTTTCTGAAGTTGGTTCTCTCTTCCACTATGTGTGTCCTTCCAATCCACTTTGTGTCAAGTTTTGTGGCAAGCCTTGCCTTTACTTGCTGAGCCATTGATTTTGTTTATATTGTTTGTCTCGTTGTTAGTCGATTGTGATAGAAACCTAGTACTCAAAATGTCTGATGCAGGGGAATCTGGAGTTGGAGACCAGCCTTGGGTAAATAGCAAAACACTATCTCAATAAAACAGAACAATCTTGTTTTTTAAAGTTATGAAACTAGTAACTCAATTGAATTGGAATATAGACAGTAGTGGTTACTCCTGTCTTACGCACACCCACCCTCAGTGAGAGGGATGTGTCATTCCAGTTCTTCTCCTGATGAGTCTGGGCTTCTTGTCCTCAGGATTGTTACAAAGATGAGGCAACATTTTTGTACACACATTCTGTAGATACACCCATGTACGAGCTCAGGATCACCTCTCCTCATTACACAGTTCACTGTGTATGTTTCAGCTCTTTTTCTTCTTCTTATGTCTAACAAGTTATTTCTCTGCTTTATTTTTGATCTTTTGACTTTGTTGAGCTATGGTTGAGACAACAAAATACAATTTAAAATTATCTAGTCAGTTACATGTGGGTGCCTATGTGTGAGGGGGAGGGGTAGA